AGCGACGTGGGGTAGGGAGAGCAGCTGGGCAGTGTGTTCCTTGCTTGAAATATTCTTTTGGTATTTTCAAGCCCTGGACAAGTTTTGTGGCATCGTTTGGTGTTTGCGGTGGTTGAGCTGCTGTGCCTCCCAAAATGAGAAGCACGCAGTGTGTTATTTTGGAGCTCTGCAGGTGTGTGTTTCCGATGCTCCCCGCTGCACCCGCTCTGCACGCCCTGCGTTTGGGGTGGGTGGGAGCTGGGGGCTGCAGAGGAGAGTCCTGACCCTGAACTGCTGTGTGCTTCAGCTTCTGTGCTGCCGTGCGATGAGAGCTTCTAAAGAGGAGTAGTCGTACATCTTGAACTAACTTGAACTTGTGAAGCGTAATCTGCTTTTCAGTAGATGTGGATGGTTTGGGTTTGGCAGTTTTGTAGCTGGAGGTTTTGTTGCCCGATGGAGTTGGGATAGTATAAAGCTATTTTCTGTTAGCTGCGATGTTGCAAACCTTTCTGTAGTACACAAGTCAAATTAAATATAGCTGTGACAAATGAAAGCTTAATAAGAAATTTTTTATGTTGTATTTCTCTAGGCTTCACTCTGGCAGTGGTAAAATAACATGCGTTTATTTTATTAAACCTTTTCCTGATGTGCATGCGCACGTTTAATAGCTAAAATACACTGTACTATCAAGCTTTAATAAAATCTGGCTTTTACATCTTGGAGGCTTGGCATGCAGAGATCTTGAGTTCTCTGAAAATGGTTTAAAAGGTTTTCTGTTGTGAATAGAAAAGTACTACAGGAACAGTAACATTTACTGTAGTAGTGTATATAATTTGTGAGGAAAAGACAACTGCTCAGTGTTCTGTTACAATCCAAAGCTTCAGCTTTAATTTTTCTTTGCACAAGGAATGTCCTTGCCCTCTTCCCCCTCTTTGTGGTTTTTAGAAGTATTGAATGTTGTCCTTACCCCGCAGCTGGGCAGATGTGTGTGGGGAGGATGCTCTGGAACTGCTGCTCTCTGAGGTCTGTCCCCTGTCTGGGGCTGACAGCAAAGCGAGAACAGGCGGATGGAATGGGAAGTGGTTTGTTCCCTGGAAACAGAGAGAAGCCTGTGCAGGATGCCTGGGGCATTGCTAGTGGGTCTTTAATAGTAATTCGCTGGGGTTTGCAGTTTGGAGAGTTTAAACTCAAGTATTTGTAAGTTGAAACTACAGTTTAACTATTTTTTTTTTTTTTTGATAGCTGACCCCAACAGTGACCATGAGAAGACAGAGTTTGTGAATTTGGTGCTGCTTTTTTCGGAATTCACTCGACACGATGTTTTTTCCCATGATGCGTACATGTGCACTTTAATATCCCGTGGAGACTTGTCCATCACCGCAGCTGCCAGACCACGGTCACCTAATGGGGAAGCTGTGGATGAACACTATGCTAAGGACCATGATGTGAAGCTGGAGGTAACGCTTCATGCTAGTTCTCCCTTGTTTGGCACGCTGTTTTGTCAAATGCAGATTTTCACCAAAGCATTAGTATTTCAGATATGCGATATTAAGTTTTGTAATCTGTGTCTTGTCTCTCTCTCTCTTTGAGAAGGCTGTTGTTTGTACTTGTGTGGTGAGATGGAGCCTGTTGTTCTGCTGCACAGTCCCGGGGGAGCCGGTGGGCAGCTAAAGCATCCTCTGTATTTCTTTTTATTTTCTTTTGTATGGCTCGTACATCAGTCTCATGGACAAATTTGCCCTGAAATACAGGGGGTTCCTACAAGTTGCTTTTTGTGGCACAACAAAGTGGGAGATAAACCTTGGGAAGGTACAAGAGTCAGCTCCCTGTTCTGCTTACAGCGATATACTGTAAAGTTTTGTTTCCCCCTTTGGGTCCAACCCTTTTCTACCCCTTTGTGGATTTAGGCTGAAGAAAGACTTCTGTGAATTAAGGCTTCTCATAAAGATTTAAAAGTCAGTATCTGAAAACTTCCTACCATCAGTACACATTTCTTTGTTCTTAAATAGGTGGAGCACTTGGGTTTGCCTGGGATCGGTTAAATGAGTCTCCAATAAAATGTGACTGATGCTTGTTTTTCTCTCTGGCAATTACTAGGATCATAGTGTGATGGAACACATGGGCATTGACTCAGGAACCGCTGGTATTTTTGATGATGTAGACAAGAGTGACTTTAAGGCAGATTTTGGTTCGGAATTTCCAGTAGGTTTAACTTTTGATTTTCTGCATGCCTTTGATGCCCGTGTCTGCTGCTTGCTGTTGCCACTGAACATCCCTCCGTGCCCTGCCACCGCCTTGCTGCTTCCCTTGACAGCCGTGTCCTTTGGCACCCGGTCCCTGTGTCAGTGCCTCGCCTCCTTCCCCTGGTCTCTGCTGTAGGACAGCTTACGCTCCTGTGCTTCCCCTGGTGTCTGCCTGCCCAGCCCTCCTCCCCCTTGTCCCCGCATGTTTGCAGTGCTGCGTGACGGTGAGGTGTGACCGACTGCAGAGCTCCCTCCCCGCTTGTGTGACATCGAGGAACCCTGTTGGTACCATTTGCTTCTCAGGTGACTGCTCTGTGTTTCAGCTCTGTCTTCCAAACCTCCCCCTCGTTTTCCTGGCGGGTAGCCTGCTTCTGCATTGCTCTGGAATCTCCTGCTTTGTTCCTTCGGGCCAGTCCTGGTTCTGTGTCCGTGTGGGCTCCTGCACCCAGAGCTGTCAGTGCAGATCCTATTGCCGGATCCAGGGAGCCCTGGGTCTGTCGGCGGGGTGCCGGGAGCCCCATGTCTGCCTGCCGTGTCCCATTGCTGGTGTCGAGCATCCCCATGCCTGCCTGCAGTGTCTCTTGTCCCCTCCCGCTTCACCCTTTCCGTTACTGTCCCTCGATCACTGCAGTGTCTCGTGGTGGGTTCTCTGTCACAGCAGCATGGCGAGTGTGCAGATGGCTCTGAACCATAAAGCTTGTTTCCCCCGATTGAATGTCGCTGGTTTAAAACTTGTCTAATAACAATGGGGGGGTGCATAGAGATACAGTGTGTGGACGTGTCTTAAATTTTGGGCTTACGATTGCCCGTGCTTTGTCTATCTTTGAAAGACCTCGGGTGTTTAACCATAAGCAAGAACAAAATCATATCTCTGGATGCAGTTGCTGAATTTTGAAAGCTGGAGGTTACACTTACCTTAAACGTTTGTTCTACATGACTTAGATTTTTTCTCCGATGCCTGGGGAGCCTGGCGAGAATGTGACCTCTTCCTTGGACAGAAGAATTTCAGTTACCAGCGAGAAGTCAGTGAAGAGGGAAAGACTGCGAGAGCTGATTTTCCCGTCCAATTACCACCTCCTTCGCCACTTGCAGTACGCGACGCACTTCCCGATCCCTCTGGTGAGTGACCCCTGCGTGCGCGGGACGGCACCGCCTGGTGTCACGGCAAAGCATTTGGAGGAAGAGCAGCTCGGTGTCCGGAGAGAGCCGTGCGTGACCCTGCCCGGGGGCTCCTGGCCGGCGGCGTGAGGCTGTTGCTGCTGGCACACACGTGCTGCGGAGCAGCCGCAGTGCAGCCCGGGGGCTCGGTGCTTCATCACCAGGGGCTGGTTGGAGGGATTCATGGGAGGTGCACGGATGGGTGAGGTCAGGAACAGGCGCCGCAGGAAAGCCGTGCTCCGGGCTCTAACAGATGTTTGCCAAGTAGAGGATTGGGTATTGCAGTTGGGCAGATGGATGGATGCCAAAATATTGAAAGAGGCGGTTCTGAGAGGGAAGGGACAGAACGGTGGTATTCACTCCTCGCTGTTCCTGGCGTGGAGTTCTGGCTGCTGTGTTTGTCTGTAGGCTCATGAGAACTGAAGAAAGCCCCGTGTATGACATCCCAGATCCCAAGCCCTCATCCACTTGACCTTTCATCTTTTCTGCTGTGCTGGAAAAAGGGCCCAAATACTGAACAAGCCTCGAACCCCAGTGTATCTACTCGAGAATTATTTTTTTTTTAAACAACACTGATGACTTTTTAACAATATTAAATCCTATCCGTACAGGAAGTGTCACGCAGGAGTATGATGTGATAACCACAGTTTTCTTTGTGTTACATTTCATACTTTACAAAGTTTGGATTCTGATTTATTGCAGGTGAACTGTTGTGAGAATACTGAGTGGGCTATTTCTCTTCGGGATAGTTTTGAATGCTTGCTTGAAGTTTGATTTGTATTTTGACCATTTTAAGGACTAGAAAAAAGATAACTTGATTTGGTTTTGTTCCTGAATTTTTTTTTCTTTTTATTTACAGATGGAGCTAATCTAGGTAGCTGGGTTTTGCCTATGCAAATAGATTTTTAAAAGTTTGATTATTGTCTGTTCTCCCTGCACATTATTTCTTGAAGTAATTGTAAATTAGAATATTAATAAACTTTGGTGTTTTCTAAATTTTTATAAATTAAACAAGCAAAGAGATATTTATTAGATATTTACACTTTATCTTAATTTTAAAATTTCCTTTATTTTTTTCCAATAACGTGTTATTAGCTTTTTTCATATTAATTGAAGCAGCAGCAAGGAAAGGCAGCAGAACTTGGCAAGGACAAGAAATTTATTTATAAGACTGCAGGTGTGATGTAAGCAGGTACAACAATTTTTAATTAGTGCAGCTTCAAATCCCTTTCTGGAGTAAATAATGCCCTCTAAAATGCTTTTGGGTTAACTCTATCAGTAAAAGTTATTTAATACAGTATGTACACAATAGTTAACTTAGAAAGGTGGGTTCAGGTGTTTACCATAAATAATTACAGGGTATGTTGGAGTCCGTCTGGACACGTTTTGTTCTTGAGTGTTGCTGATCCTTGGTAGGTCACCACCCTACGTTGGGCTGTTTCTGGGAGGAGTGATGGAGTGTTCTGCTGGTTCAGACCCGCTGTGTGGCTGGTGTTCCTTCAGCTCTCCTCCCTCTGCTTGGGCACCCTCAGCAGGGTGCCGTGACGGTGGCAGCGGCGCTGGCGGTGGCACCGCGGCTCCTGATACTGCGGGTTTACCCCCCGCCGACGTGCTTTGGCATCAGTGCTTTTGCATCTGCTGTTCACCACGGCGGTGAACCTCCTCTCCCGTGAAACCCTCGGCCTCTTTGGGCGCTGCAAAAGCCTTGGTGAATTTCAGCCTGAATGCTTTGGAAAGGTGGTAGTACAGAAGAGGGTCGAAGCAGAGGTTTGACACTGCGAAGAGCAGGGTGGATTCCTTCGCTTTGAAGAGAGCTTGCTTCAGAGAGCAGCTGGTGATGACGTCGCTCTGGCTCAGGGTGTAGGGGATGCGGACGACGTGGTACGGGACAAAGCACAGCAGGTAGCCCGCCGTCACCAGCAGGATGTTGATGAGGGCTTTCTTCGCGTTCACGTAGCTCTCGCTGTACTTGTTTCGGTAGAGTTGCCTGACAACAAGGAAATTGGAAATGAGGATCACCGCTGAGAAATTGAGGAATATTGCCGTGCATATGAAATTAGTAAACACGTGCCAGTCTCTTCCAAATTTTGTTTTGAAATCGATGCATCTTGCCCCAGGTCTTTCCTCAATGGTTTTTATTGGAATGGCCATGTTAGGCACCGTGATCAGGAGAACCATGGTCCACACGACCGCAGACAGCATCTTGGCGAAGCCAGGCTCCTGGATGCGGTAGATCTTGGAGCTGTGGATTAGCTGCAGGCAGCGGTCCATGCTGACAAAGCCCAGGAATATAATGGATAAATACATGTTCAGGTAGATGAAACAGGCTGTGACTTGACAGTGGAATATTCGCAGTTTCCAGGACGCAACTCCCAGGTCGACAATAATCTTTACTGGCAACACCAAAGTCAACAGAAAATCGGCCGTTAAGAGGTTAATTAGGTAGATGCTCATACACTTGTGCTTCTGGTCTTTTTGTGTGAACGCCCACAGCGCGAAACAACTTCCAATGAACCCCATGAGGAAAATCAAGTAGTAAAAATAGGTGAAAGGTTCCATTTCCGTGCTGCCATGGCATTGAGAGGTGTTGCTTGACATTGTCAACCTCTTGAGCCAGCTGGCTTTGCTGCTAGGAGAGACCGAGAACCTGCAAAAGGAACCAAGACGACGTCAGTGACACCAGCTTTCCTCAGCCACAGGAGATGTTCTCTGAGAATTCAGTTGGATTAATTTCATGGAAATATTCTCTCTCTTCATGCTGCTTCACAGATATTGGAGGGGGCTTTGTTCCCAGGTCAGAAGAGTTTGGAAATGTCTGGGATTGGTTCCCGTGAGCGTGTAGGCTGCTGAGGAACCTTCCCACCAGCGCAGGCTGAGTGTGCGTGGTTCAGCACCCGCGCCCCAGCCAACAAAACACCCCAGGAAACGGTTCGAGGGGGTTTAAGCAGCCAGTTAATAATGGTCACAGGAAAACTTCATAACTTTTTAAACAGTTGAAGCTGTGCCTTAAAAAGGGTGACGCTTGTAACAGTCTCGTTCTGTGAAAACGTGTGAGCAGTTCTGCAGTTATCCGCGCAGTGTCTGACCTTGTCAGATAGGTGAGCAAATAGCTCTGATCAGTCCTGAGTGTTTGCAAACTGCTCTCTTCCTGCTCGAGTGGGGGATAAATTAATCGTATATTTTTTATGAAACCTTTAGAAAAAGCACATTTTGAAAGAAAGAGCTATGAAATAGTTTTGCTCACTTCCTTTTTAGGCTTCTCTAGAAATTACAGAGAAGAAAAATAGAAAATTTTGGTCTTATTTTAACTAAATATACTCTTCCATGAGCAGAGGGTTTTTTGTTTGTTTGCTATGCTGTCAGGCTGCTGCATTGGATGTCTGTGGGAAAGGAGGCATGTTCATTAGAATTTCTTGGAATGAAAAACAATACATCTGTGTCTTGAATAGCATCAGACTCCAACAGTTTTCTATTTCATTATATTGTTCCTGATTTTAATATACAATATAGGAGAACTATTGCATTTGCACATTTATTTTCTGCTATAAAATATGTATCCAGATAGGCATAATTTGTAAACCAAAATGATTGCAGATGCTCCAATGATTTAAAATGGGGCAAAAAGCAGTTTTTCTTTTCTTTTTTCCGTGCAGCCCCGCTCATCCTCGTGGGGCAGAGGCAGCCCAGCACCCTGCACCCTCCCTGCTGCTGGAGCCGGAGCCGCCGGGGATACACGGCTGTGCCCCAGCGACGCTGCCCGCAGGCAGGGCGGAGGCTGTGTTGGGCACGGTTAATATCTCGGGCTGTATTTGTACCTAGGTGTAGATAGTCTGTCCCCGGCAAGGACCAGAAGCACGTACCTGTCTCGGTGGTCTCTGGGCTCCGCTGGGCATCAGTCCGCGAAGGTTTGCTGTCTCTCGGCGGCTGCGCTCGCAGCCCTGTAGTGTGTTAATCTTTTCCCCTGGCTGTGCCGGCTGTTTTTTTTGAAACGTGTCTGTGGTTTGTAAATGTGCTGATTGACGCAGTTAAAACCAGCATTCAAATAACTGAACCACGTGGAGGCTCTCTGAAGGAGAGGAGACAGAAAAATCTGAGTGTGCACGGAACAGCCCCGAGAGCTTGTGTGCCCCCTTGTCCCGCGGGAGCTGGCGCTGGTGGGGGGGAT